TAAGATTTGAGTTTGGTTTGAGTTTGAAAATAGCAAGTTTGAGTTTGGTTTGAGTTTGAAAATTTGCAAAATTTAATATTTGAGTTTGGGTTTGATTTTAAATCAAACTCAAGCTCAAACTTATCAAATCAAACTTCAAAAGCCTACAAGGTACTATATATCAAGGTACTATAATAAGGTACTATGACAAGGTACTATACCATAGAGCACTGCATAAAGTATCCCCAAAAATAGTACTCACCTTGATTAAAACCCAGGTATTATTCATTATATATATAGACTTAACTATAGTTAGTATCCCAGATACTTTTCAAAGTTTGAATTTATGAAATATGATTAGTACCCGGGTACTTTCAAAGTTTGAACTTGGGTAGTACCCAGGTATTAATAGAAATAAAATAAAAGTAATTTAACTAAAAAAATATCAGCATTTAAAGAATATTTATTATGCGCAGTGACTAATAATACTATATCAAATATTCTAATTGTCTATGTAATCATTATAAGATCTATGTCTATATCTAATATACTATTCTGCCGTATGTATCCATGTCCTTTTGTATGTTTTACGCATATATGGAAATAAAGTAATGTGTATTACAAAGATAAAAGAATGTTAGTAGTTTCAGATAATATTATATATATTATTTAAACCCCAAAAATAGACTAATTATCATGAAAACTTGTAGTTCACTAAAATCATGATAGGATCACAATCATCATAAGTGCAATAAATTTCAAACACTTTTAAAAAAAAAATTCCAGCAATTCTAAGATCTATTTTTTTTATTTATCCAAATTTATTATTATAAATTCTCACTAGAAAATTAAAATCTCCACTGGAAACAAACTACTGGTAATTAGCTTTGCTTATTATCAAATTATCTCATTTATTTATATTAATGAAACATTATTGATACAAGTCTTAGCATTAACATATATGTTGAGGTTCAAGTAAATAGACAAACTGATTATATAAAAAAGCCTAATAAAGTAATAAAATATTTTAATTCATTTCATTTCTCGTCAATAATGACTAATTACATTATTTAGTTACTCACACTAGTTTTAAACATTCTCTCTTCTTCTTCATAATATTCACTCCCTGGATTACTTTTAACATCTTTCTGAACTGGTTCACTATTTTTTCCTTCTTTCTTTTTAATGCCAATTCTTACACTTTTTATACCTGAAACTTTCTCAAAATCAAAAATCAAATTATCTTTAGAACCATTAATTTTTGTAGAAGCGCTACAACACTTAAAAAACCGTTGTATTATTGTAGCATTAATGCCATCTCATGCTTCTTTGATCCAGGCTGCTATTGTCAAGTATGATAGTCATTTAATTTTTTTGGCTGGTGTATATTCCTTTACTGCTTCATCTATCTATTGATTATATGCATAGCGAACCTATATTAAAATATTAAAAGTTAAAAATTTTTTTACAGTATGCTTCAATTAATCTGTAATACTAAACTAACCCTTGCTTTAAATACTTTGTTCAAAAATACATCTAATGGTTGCAAGCATGAGGTTAGCCCACCGGAATCATAGCCATATCTGTATTCCTTTCACAAAATCAATGCTTTACAGGATCTGTTCTATGAGCAGTAAATGCATCAAAAACAAGAAGTGAACGTGGATTTGACCCTAGATTAGCTTGTCGACGCCACACATTTTTCATCCACCAAAGCATTTCTTTTTCATCTATCCAGCCACTTGGATTTGCATGAACATATACACTATCAGGAAACTGCTCTAATGGAACATTAACCAACTTAAAAATAATAAGTAGAGAAAGTTTAGTATTATCTGCAAGGCAGGCAAGGGTTATAGTAAAATTAGTGCATTCATGACCCATGGTAAGAACAGAGATAGTTCGTTTACTATATTCTTTAGCAGTTGTTTGACTTGGTAAACTAAATAACATTGGAGTTTCATCCATATTGCCAATTAAATTTAAAGGATAGTTATGTTGAGTTCAACGATAAAGCATATATGCCAAAAAATTTTGTTGTAGTTCATTATACTTTTCAGGTAACTTTTGTGTAGTTGTAGTATATCGATGATTTACTAATCTATGATGAGACATAAATCCATTCACCTATTTTCATGTAAATTGACATTCAGGAATATTAGAATATAGAGTATAGTATTCTTGTTTTAAAGCCAAATTGCAAGCTTTTGCACTAATTATAAGTCTGGTTACAGTTTTAAGTTGTTTTTGTAACTCACAAAGCCACTCTAAAAGTTCCTCTTCTAATTGTGGATATTTAGATCTTGTGCCAGTGTTAAATTGTCAAATATACAGTGCTGCACTCATTAAATTTATTTTTTTTTTTCCAATCACAAACTTGCTTAGGCTTGATTTCAAATTTATTTGCTGTTGCGTGAATACTATGTCCACTTTCTTGATAAAATACGACTATCAACTTTTCACAAACATTCTATTGTCTGCATTTTTTTTGCATATGAATTACTCATTTTGCACCAAAATTTCTTTTTGGCATGTTAGATATTAAATTGTCTGATTTAAAAATTTTCACATTTTTTTTAAATATTCACGAGACAGATCTAAAGGTACTAAATCTGCCTCAACATTATACAAATTATTCAAGGAGCATTTCAGGCTAAGCATTTACTAGTAGATGCCAATTTGAATTCTTGTTCAATATAGTAGCAACTAGGAGTCCTATAAGAAAATTTTTTTTAATGTCAATATTAAAAAAAAAAGTCTTTACTCAGTCAAAATCTCTAAAATAATAACTACAAAGCAAAATATTAGTTATTTTGTAAAATACTGACCTAATAATACTTCCAAAATGATGCATGATTTTATAAATATTACTTTCTGAAACATTTTATCATACATATTAAATAATTTTAAATCTGAAATTCGATTTCTAGTAGATTATTCAAGTTTACAAGCATTTATTTATTATACTATAAGTTTGATCTAATAGTTCAAGAAAAAAAGTTCATTATTTTTTGTTGCTTTTTTTACAGCTTACAACGCCTTTCTTATTTAACATAAAACTCATATTATTTAGTTCCTAATTTTATTTATTTTTTAATAAATTAATTACTTGTCCTTTTTTTTAATTATTATTTTTTAATTATTTTTTATTTATTTTCTTTTATATATATATATTTATTTAATGGAGACTCTGTTTTGTTAAAAATTTACAGCTCTTAATTTTCATGATTAGGCACTAATTCATCTAAACAAACAGCACTTCTACAATAAATAATATAGATAAGTTTTGGGGTTTAGTTTACTTATTTTTAGTTCACTAATATTAGTACTAATCACACTTTTATTATTCTCAATTATAGTTCAATGGATACAACATTTTTTTGTTATATTGTTTGTTATAAGGAATAGTTGCTTAAATTTATTTATTGATCTCCTCTCTCTTTTATACAATTTTAGTTAATATCAATATACTGTATATACAGTACATACATATATATATACCTGATACATTATTAGTTATGCATACAATAAACTTTACTACTTGATTTTACAGGTTACTTACATTGTATTACCATAAAGTTTGCTTTTAAAGTAATTTGCACCATATACAATGCCTTACATATATATACCCTGTATACAATACCCCCTACATAGTGTATCCCCCTAAAATAGTACCTGGTTTCTAACACAATACCCCTGGGTACTATTCAATTTAAAAAACATTGTTCTTGAATAAGACCTTGGGTACTTTATGTCAAAGTTGGCAATTTCAAATGAACATGACCAAATAACCAAATGAATTAGTCATTGGTCATTTGGTTATTTGAAAGTTGAAATGACCTAATGACCTAATATAAAAATTATAAAAATAAAAAGTGCA